AATTTGAAATCACATAAATCATGTTTTTCATGCAATAGAAATATACATGTCTTTCCATAAGGAAGTGTGAAAAAGGAGTAAACCAATCCCTACCTTTAGCAAGAAGAGGAGAAACCCCAGAAATCTAACTTCGACGAAAACACAATGAGCTCAAATTACTTGATAACTCTCTTTGTGCTCTATGTTTTGATATATGGAACTAGGATGAGATTTTGAATGAAAGGAGATGAAATCCAAGTTAAAAGCTTCGGACATGGTGGAAAAAGAGAGGAGAGAAAAAATGATCTAGATTTGACCAAAAAGTGACTTTTTAAAGTGCTGATTCTAAACAGACCGCTCGAGCGATGAAACTTGCACTTGAGCATCAGAGACACATTACTGCTCGAGCGACAAAACTCACTCAAGCGCAGAACACATACCCCCAGAAGTTTAGTTTGCAAACAAAAGTACTAAAAGACTCGAAAGACTGCTTGAGCGAACAATTCATCGCTCAAGCGATGAAGATTATTTTATTTATTTCAGAACGCTACAGTATAGTTAAAATGACTTTGGCTCAAGAATTCAACATATACCATGGAGTTGCTTCTACCCATTCAAAGACTACATTTCTACTTGACATTCAAAAAGAGTAAGAATGTTAATTAGTTGAAACCATACAACAAAATAAGAGCATAAGCATTTTATACATTTGAAACCATAGTAAACACACGTAAAAAAGAAGAAAGGAGATACTTCCATTATCATAATTAAACATCCAAAACACCGTCACCACAATTGGCATCAGTGCATACATACATACATACATACATACATACAGAAAAAAAATTAAAAAATTAAAAAATTTGGTAGAACAGATTGTCAGCACACCTTGTCAAGAATCATTCACACCTTGCGGCTACGTTTTGCACATACTGACGAAGCTGATTCCAAGTCCCCAAGGAAGAAAAGGATTTTGTCCAGAATCCCTATGCTGGGTTCCTCCTCGAGAGATCCTTCTCCTCCGACAAAGTCTGTTTCTGAACTGAGTAAACAGCCATTTGGTCCCTTTTGCTGTCGTCTTGAGCCCAAATGGCGTTGAATTTCACCTTGGTGGATGAGGTAATAGTCTCTGCCTTCTCTGATAATCTTCAGCCCTCTGCAGATATATAATCTAATCAATTCACACAAACTAGTTTTGATATATCAAAGATATAAAGACAGTTTTCCAAATTTGTTATATAAGAGCTGTACAGGCAGGAAACAGGACAAGACATGATTTTCTGAAGTGTTCAACCTTTCATGTTTTGGACAGGGTAAACTGCCATTTATATTCTATTTGGTTCTTGAATTGTTAAGGAAAAGGAAAAGTCAAGAGAAGGAAAAGTAAAGAGGGAAGAAATGAAAAAGAAAAATCAAATGAGAGCGCCATTAGCTGGGAAAATAAGAAGAAAATGGTAGGCATTTCTGAAAGGAAAATGATGACACCAGATTTTTCTCACCTCTTTCGTGATTCACAACACAGCAAAGAAATATGATTGACATATGATGTGGAAAGATAAAAAAAACTGTGAAATTTATCCATTGATACATGACAGCCATCTTTCTCAAAATATCAATTTTGTTGTTTGGAAAAATTAGTAAGTACAAGTAAGTTTGCTTCCCTATCATAATCCCGTCATAATCCAGTAAATGGGCTATTTCTGCCTACAAATTTCTGAGTATTTCCACAAATACATGATAGTGATTGAGACTTTCATATTAGATTCAGATGAGGAGTATAAATCAGTGGTTTTGTCGGTGGCAAACTGGGAGTGAAGTGCTCAGTGCAAAAATACATATAAAAGTATTAGCATGAAGTTTCAGCTTACAGTCCGACTCGATCACATCGATCTTGAACTTCATACATATCTTTCCATGATTTTAAACCTACAGGGGAATAGAATGCGGCTTGATCTCTTCCCCATCGCTCTTCAAATAAGTTAGACCATAGAATATTGTCTGAGGCCAAGACTTTCCACCTCCTGCAAACTTTAAAAAAATACCCAGTGGACAGGATTATTCATTTACTTTTAGCCTAAATAAACAATTCTCAGTAATTAAAAGGTGAGAATTCAAGCTGTGAATACTGGAATATAGTGAAACCTTTGGCTTCAATGATTAAGTTCAATGAATAACAAAGTTAATACCCATGTTTGTGAGTTTTTAAAGACCAAAATGTCTAAGAAATTGAATAATCATAAGGCAACACTTTGAATTGGACCAATTGATCCCAATTTTCGGGCAAAATGGAACTTTCTAGCTATGTTGCCTGGACTCTTCTATTTCTCTCAAAATACCAATGTCCACCGCATGCAGCAATGATAAAAGTGTGGAACATGTGTCTGACACACGTACTCAATTTAGACACTTTGAATCCTCCAACTTTAATGTTTGAACAATAAGAAACTCACATTTGACAGAAAACAAACATTAATAACCTCCAACATTAATAAAAATAAAATTTTCACATTTTTTTTTTTAAAATCTTATTCAACTACATATCTACCTAATTTACAACATCTTATCTAAGATATTACATAATATTTACTAATATACAATACAAGTATCCGTAACAAGTCCCCATACACATATCCTATTTTAGATATCAGTTCTGCTACAGAGCCCGAAAGGTTTCGAATTTGAGAAGGAGGAAGAAGAAGAAGAAGAGAATGAGGAAGAAGAGAAGGAGGAGCAGAACTGGAGGGGGCCCTAAAAATAGGGCTGGAGGCGGAGGCGAAGGGAGGCGGAGGCGGAGGGAGGCGGAGGTGGAGGCGGGCGGAGGCAGAGGCAGAGGCGGAGGTGGGCGGAGGCAGAGGCGACGATCGGCCGACGACCGACGAGCTGCGACGATTGGCCGACGACCGACGACGAGCTCCCACCTCTCCCCTCTGTTTCTCTCTCTCGCCTCTGCTTCTCAGGTTCAAACGAAGAAGAAGAAGAAGAAAGAAAAGAAAGAAGAGGAAGGAAAAAAAAAAAAAAAAATCAAAACCCAAAACGACGTCGTTTTGGGTTTTGAGCCACATTCGGGCCACTAATTTCGGGCCCTCAAACATTATTCTTTAGATATATATCCAAATATCCTAAGACTTAAGATTAAGAAGGTCTGCTAGGACAAGCACCCGTACCTGATAATCTTACCAGAGTACTTGTACCATAGCTTTCAAGTAGCTAATTAACTAAATAAACATTCAAAACAATAAAAAAAAACTAGGGTAAAATTCAGGATAGTAGGTCAATTTCTATGTCATGTACTCATAGAAAATCAATTTGGCATTTTAGAATGTACTTATAGAAAATCAAATTGGCATTTTAGAAAATTGCAGCTCTCTCTCTCTAACAAACACAATTTTCCTCATACATATATATATATATCCAACCCATGATTGCAGAATTGAGAGGGCTATCAACATACAACAGCGATGATATCTAATGCTAATGCATAACAGACCTCACTCAAGGACACACTTAAAATCCTTGATGAATTGCTCAATGCGAGGAAAATTCAAGAAACCCAGTTCAGATCTTATCGCAATTTGACAATTCAACAGACCCAAAAAGAAGCAGAAGATCTAAGATTTGAATTTGAAAAATGATTAACAAAGATGGATTGATTGAAACAATTAGAAATTCCAATGATTTAGAGCTTCTACTACTGACTGACCTTGTTGAGCAGTTGCAAGGTTCTGGTGATCCAACGAACCGAAGATCTTCATACACACATCAGCTGGTAATCTCCCCATTTGCTTCTCTGTCTCTCACGTCCCAAAATTTTGAATGTTTTGAAACTCAATTTTGCAGAGAGATCGAGATCGAGATCAGATGAGCTTTTTATTTGCGTGCGACTTTCTAAATAAGCTCCTTTTAACTTTTAAACTGGTGATTGAAATCTTATAATTTCATTGCAGGCACAGATTGTATGTCTGGAGTATATAGGTCATGGTTGGTTTGCTTTCTAGAGTGACTTTGGAAAATTCTTTTAAAAAAATTTGTTTAATTTATAATTTTTTCAAAACAATTTTTGAAGATGATTTTTTTTTTTTTTACACATCAATTAATTATTTTTTATCTTTTATCTTTTTTTTTAATTATTTTTTCTCTCACACACATCTACTTAATTATAATAAAATACCAAATCATTTTAAATTCCCAAACTTCAAAATTACTTTCAAAATACACAATCAAATAAACTAAAAAAATTTCTAACCCCTCCCCCCAAATCAAATTTTAAAAACTAATCTTTCAAAATCAAACCAAACATAACAATAATATCTGTGAACTCGCCGATCATGGCCCTTCGCCATGTGTCCTCCCCTGTCCTATTTTTTACCGCCAAGTTTTTATATTTTTTAATACGATTTTACTGCCACACTTTTTTTCTCTCTCTCTCTCTCTTTTTTTTTTCACAATCGGAACAACTAAAAAGTGCTCCCATTAGCACTTTATAAATTATTTTGAATTCTCCAATTTTAATTTTTTTTATTACAATAATAACTTCAATAAAATTACTAAAAAAAGTTTCATTAATTTTGAGATACCCCATCTCATAATTAAATTTACATACCTACTATATCATGAATTAAGATTTATGAGAGCACCCACCTTCATCACCACTCATCAATCTTCCCCAAATTCAATTTTCAAAATCTACCCACCCTCAAAACATTAAAAATCTTTTGACGGCAATATTCCGACAGTAACAACGGTAACTATTTGACTATCTACACTTCTCCGGCAATGACATTGAGTGAAAGTTTTTCTAGTAATCACAACTCTACAAGACGAGAGGAGAATAACAATAAAAGCTTAGAGGATGTTCATAACTTTGATGTTATTCTTAGTTCGGAGGAGATTGACCTTATAAGGATAAGTTTCTTTAAAAAAAAAAAATGACAAAAATAATAAAATATGTTATCTGTATGATTTCAAGAATTTGGCTAGGTGTGCTTGAGATCCCGCATAGCACATGAGCATTTTTGGGAGAACTAGAATTGCATATTTTCAATTGGTACATGTGTCAACATGGCATAAGCCCCACTGCAACAGCCACAATGTCACCAATGGGTGTTATAGCAAAAATCATATTGGCCAAATTGTATAAGATTGGTCAAAGACCCGCGATGTGCTACATAGAATTAAATTGCTTCTCAATGAGATCAATCCACTCCCATACCAATGTATGCAAGTGATGTGCGAAGAAAGCCAATACCAATATTATGTGATTTGGATTGTTTTTTAGGTTGTTGGGATTTTAATGTCATTTGGACCCTTTTTTTGGTTTGTTGGGACTTTAATGTGATTTGGACTGTTTTTTTGGTTTGTCGGGATTTTAATTTTCGTAATGCTGATATATTAGGTTTACTAATCTAGGTGTGTAATTCTCATTCTATACTCTTTTGATCACATTAATAAAATTTGTTTCAAAAAAAAGTTAGTGACCAGCCTTTTAACTTTCTATTTTATTAGCCCTTGTTAGCAAACTATTAAAGATTTATACTTAACATCCTAACTAATATAGAGCCACATTTTCTAAATTAACATCTTACAATGAGCACAACTTAATTGATTGATAATGAATTTTGCCACGCATTTAAGATCTTAACTAAAATATTTAAAAAGACAATATTAATCAAACAGCATCCGTTACTAGTACCCGCAATATAAAAAAATTATAGTACAATATATTTGTTATATTTTTAGTTTCCTCCTATATTTCAGCTAATTAACAATAAAAAGTAATTACCAAATAATGTATTTTTAGCTTACTTATAGATTGACAAAATAAGAAAGAAATTTTAACCTTTATCCCCTACAATCGTAAAAAGAAGTACTCTTATCTATCATATTTGTTGATAAAATTCATTCGAATGAAGTGTATTGTACGGGGAGGAAATAATTCTCCTCGTATAATCCTGTTCTTCTTGAGCCGGAGTAATTTTGCCTCCTTGGGCCGAAGTAGCTTTGTACGGCCTTTTTACCTAGTCCACTGCGTTTTGGGCCTCAAAACCAAACTCGAAGTTCGGCCCAATTTTCCCAAAAATTACCCTCTCATGTATGTTGAACATGCATTAGTTATGAACACAAATGGCATGCAAATATGTTACAGGGGCAAAAAATGTGATTTTTCATAACAATGTCTTTTAGCCACACCCAATAGTAAACAAAAGTGGAGTAATTGATCCAATTTGTCTAAGAGTAATGTTACTAATGAAATTTCTTTACTAAAATTTCATACAATAATGTAAACTGTTTATATTTATTCATTAATTTTTTTAAAAAAAAAAAAAATCACTAAATATCATAATGATAAAGATAAAAATATCAATGTCATATCATTTTGTTTTGTTGTTTTATTAAAATTCTATAATGTTTAACACAAGCTTGACAAATTCAAATTTTTAAACTGCTTCTCTTGTCTTTTTCCCTTCCTTGCCATTCATCTCAAACTCTAACTAAAATTAGAGTTTGACATTGTGGGAGTGCATGCTTTTAACTGACACCAAAACCTTATGAATTGAAAAAGAAAACCATATGGTTATGGTAATTAGAGCTTCAACACAAGTAATGATTATGAAATAATTGTCTCATGACTCTTTTGGGGTCAGTTTTCTTTGGGTCTGATGTTGGACAAGACAAGTGCAAAAATCCATGTGGCCTTCTGAGCAATAATTTTTGTAAAATACAAAAAGGTTGAGTCATTGTACTAAAGAGATCTGACACCACTGCCCTGTGGTTCAGACTCCTTTTCTTCCTCACCCACTGCATTGCCTGAAACTATGAAATGGAAGGTATCACAGTATGCATGGAAGTGATCACCAACACAACTTGGTGTTTTATGACTCAGCTTAAAAAAAATTCAATTGAGATAACCAACTCAAAATATATGTGTAGCCAAAGCATTGTTGATGATCAAATATACATACTAATCTTTATTTCATCAAAACACAATTTAAATTCTCAATAACACCAATACCCCCTACTACTATTATCCATGCACACAGATAAAGAAAAGTGTATTGTTTACTATACATTCAGAGAATAAGAAAAAGGGTAGAGATAATGATAACGATCCTTTGATTTAGTTGCATTGGCCATGGCGATGATGATGATGACGATACCAGAAGAAGAAGATCTTTGCTCACCTGTTATGGTCTGGATTTGGACCACTAGGGACTTCATGAGCAGCTGCCTCAAACTGTCGATTTCTAGTAGCGGTGGTGGTGGTGGTGGCAGTGGAGGCTGCAGTAGCTGCAAAATGCAATTCCTTAGTGGATTGTTGGGTTGTGGTTGTGGGAGAGCCTAGAAGGACTTGACTGACCGACGATGAGGAAGCTGCCTTTGACGGATCTAGAGGACCGGTGAAGAGAAGAACAATCAAGGTAAAGAGTACTACCCAAAGAAGCAGCAAAAGGGTTTGTGATTTTTTGAAGCTTTCACAAACTGTTTTGCTAGCTTTTGCCATAGTAGTATTGGATTTGGAAAGAAACCACACCCCCCAGTTGTCCACTGGAGATCAATATCCATGAACCAGTTAGGCCACCAAATTTTCAAGAAAAACAAACACTATGAAGAAGAAGAGAAGAATAGGGAGGAGAAGAAAGGGTTTGATATTATTGAATTTCTACATAGTTTCACTAGAAGCAAAGGAGGTATATATGAACATCATGTGATGTGACCAAAACTGTTCAAGCTACCGCAGTCAGTGCCCCTTTTCTTTTCAATGAATCACAAGAATATCCATGTGTAACGTGTTTGAATGGATTGGTTGAGTTTTTGGTATGCTAGTTCACATTTATATGTTGATTATATTGATTAAATATGATCAGATTATGACGCATTGTAATTGTCCACATATTGTGTGATAATTCATCGAAATTACAATATTATATTAACATATTCTTTTCCACACTTCCGATGTTGAAACCCCACTTTAAACACAATGAATGCTGTCACTTTTAGGTGAATTATGGCAATCTTGAAGTTTCAAATTTTTTTTTTTTCCTCTCTTTTTTTGAAAGCATATTTTTTTGGAAACATGGAAAATTGGCAATGGCAATTTTAAAAGTACAGTGAAGTGAATGGTCCTTCAATTAATTAATTAGTAGAACTAATTTAATAGAGCTTGATTTAATTAATTAATAGAACTTGCTCTTAATACCTTGAATGGGGTTGCATTGAGTTTTCGTTTTGGTTTGGAACTTGTATTTATCCTTAATTTGCTTAACTAGTGAATAGTGTCGCAATGGATATTTTTTTACCTTTTTGGTTGGAGGGGTTTTCTTGATTGTAAATTTTACCTTGTATGTTTTGTGATGATTTATTCCACGCAATGAGTATTTAACTGATTATAAACTCAAGTGTTTCCATCACTCATTTAAAAATAACTTTTAAAAAATCAAACAAAACAAACACCAAGTATTTCAATTAGTGTTCCTCAATTTCTAAAGCAACTCACCACATCTTACTTAGCTCAATCTAATTAGATTACTTGGATCTTGTTAGCTTTCACACCCAACCCAACAAATTACTACAATATATAGGATTTATTTTTCAGAAAGTCTAAATGTTCAAAAAAAATCATCTCAAAATTTTATTCCGTTGTAATTATATGGTAGAAATTGAATTAACATTATATAAGTTCATATATAGAATAAATCTAAATCATTAATTGATAATTCTAAATAAAAATCTTGATTAAAAAAAATATGAATTTGTAATATTAATTATCACTCTTTCATATAGGTGAGAGCCAAAATCTTACTGGTACGGATTATTTATTTGGCAATTTGAGTACTCTTCTGAATTAATAATCATTGGCCCTACTTTGATTCATAATGATTTTTCAAAAGTTCATTAGTTTCGTCTAAAAACCTATATAATCATCCAACTAGGGGCAATCTGGTTATTTCGGATAAAGAATCTGTTAAAGTAAATCAACTGATTGAAGAAAGGAGAGGGAGCAGAAAAGTGGTGGCATTTTCTTGCTTAGCCTGTTTTCTCGAGAAATATCTTTTCCTTGAATTGGACAATTCTTGGAAAATCACGTGGTCAGTTTGGTTTAATTTTAGAATTGTAATTTGAGGATAAAATTGGGTTTTGAGTTTTAAAATTTTAAATTATGAATATTTTATTGTTTAGATACATTTAAATAAGATATATTTAAAAAAGTAAAAAAATTATTTAAAATTATTAAAATATTTATTAAAAATAAAAAAATACAAAAAATAAAAAACTCAGGCCTTGTTTGGTTTGCTTTTGAGAAATAAATTTTGGAGAAAATTTTCTAAAATTTTGTTTGGTTTAGTGATTTTGAAAAAAAAATTTCAAAATCACTTTCGATCTCCTATACATCAATCAATCACTTTTTCTCTCTCATCTCTCCTTCTCAACTACTTTTTCTCTCATACACATCTACTTAATTACAACAAAATATCAAATCATCCCAAACTCTCATACTCCAAAACTATTTACAGAATATACAACCAAACCAAAAAAAATTCTAAACTCTTTTCTCAAGATTTTTTTTGAAAATTTATCTCTCAAAACCAAACCAAACACACCCTCAATTTTCAGAAAACTGAATTTAGAAAACTGAAACCAAACACCCTGATTAATTGATTGATTAATAATAATAATAATAAAAGAGAAAAAAATGAGTTTTGAAAATAATTTTGAATTATATTTTAAAAATATATTTGGTTAACATGTGACATCCAAATTATGATTTAAAAATAAAGTTGAGTTTTAAAAAGTAAACCAAACACTACTAGAGTTGAAAAAAAAATGTTATATGTGGGGATATATTTTCTAAGTACCAACACGTGGCCAAGGTGACGCCGACGTGTCAGTCGAGGTGCCACGTGTCCTGGTCATGACGCCGAGATTATCTCGGCAAGGCCGAGGTTATCTCTGAAGATATCGGAATCCGATATAAGCAGATAAAGCACAAGAGTCCTAGAATGATGAGGGGACTCAGCCTGGATAAAGATAAAGCTCTTAGGGAGCTTATCTCTATCTATGGAAGAGTCCTGGATAAGCACTGAGCTAAAGTCCATTAAAGCTAGAATTCTGTTGGGACAATGATTGAGTTAACTATAAAAGAAAGGCACCCCCGATGGGTCTAAGGTATGCAATTTATATTTTGAACAGTGAGTTTAGCACTATTGATTATCTTTGAGAGATATACTGACTTGATCGTCGGAGTGCCCCCGGGTGGACAAACCACCGCCGAAATCTTCTCTTTCTGTTGCAGGTCAGACAGGTGCCATCTATTCTGCCAGTGCTCTCCACCTGAATACTGAGTTGGCAATGTGATCGAAAATTCACTCACACAATTTGGCGCCGTCTGTGGGAAAGAAAGGAAAATAGATGGCCACCGGCGGACAGAAGGATAAGGTTGGGGACGAAATCCCTACTGGCAATGGAAAACATGTTGACCCAAACGTGAAGGAAGATGGTCGCAATGAGGAGACTCAGAACCAGAATCACTGCAAGATGGCGACATGCCAAAGAAACCAGATTGAAGTGGATACTACAACGAGGACGACCTCTAGGTATGGAAGGATAGATGCCTGCAGATGGATGAAGAGGTGAAAGAGATGGCAAACAAGTTGGCAGACCTACAATCAGTCGTCAATTTTATGACGCAAAATAACGTCATGCAGCCACCATTCCCGCTGCAGGACACACCGATTCCAGCGGCCAATGCCTAGAAGGGAGGACAGAAACCAATCCCAATAGCCCCTCAACACACCAGGAGTGAAAGACACTCTCACCGACCTTCAAGGGATGTCGGACGAGGAGAGTCGAGAAGGGAATAATCGCGAAGGACGCATCGCACCAAGGAAGCATACCCCAGAGAACATCGGCATGTTCAAAGGCAGGAGCTATGTTTCAACACAACTCATGGAGAAAGGTCAAAAAGGGCTCACAACGAAGCTGAGAGCAGTGCACCTAAAAGACTGAAATCAGGAGATAGTCGAGCTCTTGGGCAGACAAAGGAGGACTTAAGAGATTACCTCAAACTGAGGTAACCACCCCTGATAAGCCGAGAACACCCTTCTCGGTGGAATTGGACAAATTTGAGGCGCCAAAGAGATTCAGTATGCCGAGGTTCCAAATATACGATGGTAAGTCAGACCTCAACTTCCATGTTGGATTATACTTAAACTCAATGGCATTGTATAGTGGGAACGAGCTGTTGCTCTACAAAATGTTTCCCTCATCATTCGGGGAGATTGCATCAGATTGGTTTCACAAACTACCGAAGGGAAGCGTGAAGACCTGGGAAAGCCTAGCCGAGATGATTGTGGCCAGGCTCGTGACAAACAAGCTGCAGCCATTAAGGGTGGATGCATTGATGGCTCTGAAGATCAGTAAGGATGAAGGCCTTAGGGCCTATGCAAAAAGGTACTATGAGGTGTTCAACCTAATACCAGAGTGTAATCAAGAGGTGGCGGTCGTATCTTTCAAGAACTGCCTAAAAGACGACTGTTCACTATGAAAATCTTTGGCAAAGACATTGCCAAAAAGCATGGAAGAGCTCATGGCTAGAATCGAGAAGTATGCCAGAGCTGAGGAAGATACATCGAGGACTAAGGAGACAAAGCAAGAAAAAGGAAACGGCTCACCGAAACAAAGCCGAGGTAACAATGGATCTAGCAAGCAAGAGATAGGACTAAGGGCTACTTAGGCAGTTACGACTGTATTCCGAATCCCAATTCACAAAGTCCTGGATAAGATTCGGAACCAACCCTATTTCAGAGCGCCAGCGAGGGCACCAGGAGAGTTTATGGGAAGAAACCTCGGCAGACTTTGTGCTTACCACAATGAAGATGGGCACATGACTCAGGGTTGTAGAGCCCTGAAAACACACTTAGAAGACCTGGTGAGGCAAGGCCATCTGAGAGACCTTGTCGATGAGGCCAGGACAAGGGAAGAACATGCAAGATTGCCTTAGGCATCAGCAGCCCCGCCTCCCCCAGCACAGCAACCTCAGGCAGGAGGACCTCGGGTAATTAATGTAATTCACTCGAAGGTCAACAAAAATGAGATTCGGGGGGAGACCTAGAAGGTAAAACACTTACAGCATGTCTACCAAGTCGGGGAGAAGAGACATCGGGCAGAAGAGTGCCAAGGACCAGTAGTGTTCTTTACTGAAGTCGACCTTGAGATGGTGCAGCATCCACATAACGATGCCTCGGTAGTATCCCTCCAGTTTGGGGAATACCAAGTGAAGCGCATCTTAGTCGACCAAGGCAACTCTTGTGACATCATGTATGTTAGATGTTACAAGGAGCTTGGCCTTCACCCAGACGATATGGAGCAATCCAATAACCCAATGGTTGGGTTCAATGGAACGCCGACATGGCCACTGGGAACGACGAGCTTGGAGGTGCAGGCTGGCACCAAGAAGATAAAGACAGAGTTCACCATAATTGACACACCCTCCCCTTACAATAT